AGAACCAAGATATAGGACAATATGGGACAGTGTCCTAGGCAGCTGGTGGAACCCAGGAATAATGGAAGGCCCCCTCATCTCAAAATACAGCTTCTATATCATATTCCCGCAGTTTTTCTTTTCACCATCACTGGCCCCAGTCATGTGACAAACTTCCCTCAAGACAATAAAAGCAAAAACATAAAAAAAAAAAAAAAAAAAGCTGACCAGGTGCAGTGACTCATGCCTGTAATCCCAGCACTTTGGGAGGCCGAGGTGAGCGGATCATAAGGTCAGGTGTTTGAGACCAGCTTGGCTAACATGGCAAAACACCATCTCTACTAAAAATACAAAAAACTTAGCCAGGCGTGGTTGTGGGCACCTGTAATCCCAGCTACTTGGGAGGCTGAGGCAGGAGAATCACTTGAATCCAGGAGGCGGATGTGGTAGTGAGCCGAGATTATGCCACTGCCCTCCAGCCTGGAAGGCAGCAAGACCCCATCACAAAAACAAAAAAAAGAAAAGCTCCAAGCTCTACAAAAGCTGCACTGGCATTTAAGGAAATAGAAAGGAGTTTCATAGAAGTTGTTCAGTGTGCCCAGGAATACAAGATCATAGAGTGTCCATGAAATAAGATGTAATAGACACCCTGCCCATGTCCCCTTGTTCTCTCTATTTTGGTTCACAGTGACCTGATTCTAACGGCCAGTACCTCTATTTCCTTCCCTGAGGTATTCCCCCTCCTTGTCCTCTTGTTATCTAGGGCCAATTAGTGTGGCATGGCTGAAGTGCTGAGGAATTAGCATCCTCTATCCCAAAAGCAGCCCTCAACCAATGACCAGTGGGATCTGGTAGGAATACCCCAGTCCCCTGACCCCTGGGGTGGAATTAGCCAGGTGTGGTGGTGTGTGCCTGTAATCTTAGCTATTCGGGAGGCTGAGGCAGGAGAATCGCTTGAACCCCGTGGGTGGAGATTGCAGTGAGCTGAGATTGCACCATTGCATTCTGGCCTGGGCAACAGGAGGGAAACTCCATCTCAATAAATAAATAAATTAAATAAAGTGTATAAAATGAAAAACAAATGGTGGTGTGCACCTGTAATTCCAGTCAGTCGGGCGACAGAGGCAGGAGAATTGCTTGAATCTGGGAGGTGGAGGTTGCAGTGAGCTGAGATGGTGCCATTGCATCCCAGCCCAGGAGGCAGAGACTCCATCTCAAAAAAAAAAATCCTCTAGCCTTCCTTCCTAGTCCCCCAGTTTCCTTTCCAGAGGCAATGACTTACCAATTCATTGTCTCTTCCACAGACACCCGGTGAATATGCAGGTGTTTTGTGCCCCTTTGTAAGAGGAAGGATAACCCTCCTATAAGGAGTGAGACCCCGGGGGAACATCCCGGCTTCATGGTAACTCCTCAGGTCTGTGTTCTGCTGCCCCTCATCTCCTCTGCATCCGAGCTGGCTGGGAGGGCAGGTGGGAGTCTCTCTTTTTTTTGGATCAGCTCTGCCTGACACCACCACGCAGCAGGCTGTACTGTGAGCCCCACTTTACAGGGGAGAGAAGCGAGGTACAGAAAGGCATGTAACTTGCTTTAAGACATTGGACCGGCAAGAGGTGTAGCTGGGATTCAAACTCAGGCAGTGGAGGTCTGGAGTCCCTACTTTTAGCTACTACATGACACTGTCTCTCAATGTATTATTTTTATATATTTAAAACGTCAAAGCAGTTTTCTGTGTTAGAGTGCCTTTTTTTTTCTCAATTCTTCACATGCTTAAAAAAAAAAAAAGAAACAGGGGCCAGGTATAGTGGCTCACTCCCGTAATCCCAGCACTTTGAGAGGTGGAGGTGGGTGATTACCTGAGCTCAGGAGTTCGAGACCAGCCTGGCCAACATGGTGAAACCCTGTCTCTACTAAAAATACAAAAATTAGCCGGACATGGTGGTGCATGCCTGTAGTCCCAGCTGCTCAGGAGGCTGAGGCAGGAGAATCACTTGAGCCCGGGAGGTGGAGGTTGCAGTGAGCTGAGATCATGTCACTGTACTTCAGCCTGGGTGACAGTGATGAAGGGAGACTTCATCTCAACAAAACAAAACAAAACAAAACAAAAAAACAGGCCAGGCCTGATAGCTTACGCCTGTAATCCTAGCACTTTGGGAGGCGGAGGCATGCAGATCACAAGGTCAGGAGTTCAAGACCAGCCTGGCCAACATGTTGAAACCCTGTCTCTATTAAAAATACAAAAATTAGCTGGATATGGTGGCACATGCCTATAATCCCAGGTACTCAGGAGGCTGAGGCAGAAGAATTACTTGCACCAAGATGTGGGACGCAGAGGTTGCAGAGAGTCATCGTGCCATTGCACTCCAGCCTGGGTTACAGAGCGAGACTCCATCCCCAAAAAACAAAAATGAAAACAAAAACAAAAAAACCCAGGAACACTGCATAGCCCATGATGAAGTGTTTTATATCTGCGATTCTTATTGTTCATTGGTTGCTTCTGTTCCTCCCTGACCACAGCCTGATGGGAGCACAGGCAAGCGAAGAACGTGGCTTTGGGAACTGGGGGACCCTCATTCTCATCCCAGCTCTGCACAAACTGCCGCACGACCTTGGCCAGGCCCCTTGCCCTCCTTGGCCTCAGCCTCCATCTGTAGAGCTGGGCTGATGCCGGAGCCGATGACCTCCTGCACAAGGATTCTCTGCCTCTTTCTGATCTATTTTTGCCTGATGCCTCTCCCAGGGGCCTGTGGACCAGAGCTAATTTTCCTGGCTGACCCCAATCCAGGCAGCTCAGGTGGAGAGTGCCAAGCTAATGAGGCCAAGGTCATGGTCCAGTTAGTGTCTCCCAGAGGAACTGTGGCTTTTCAGCCAGAATGTAGCTCCCTGACCAGTCACTGGGCTCAGGTAGAGGCAGGCCCCAGAGGGAAGGACAAAAGCAAAGCTGGATCCTTCAGGTTACCACTTCCAATAGGAGCTGCTCGGGGCCCAGGTCCCAGATACCGTTTGTGACTGCAGGAAAGCCTGTCAGGGCTCACGTCAACATACCAGGGGGACTCAAGGAATGTGTAGGTTGGGGGATAGGGAGAGGACCAGGTGGTTCATCAGGTACGTGCAGGTACACCCACACCTGTCAAGTCAGGAAGATGAGAACCAATTCTATCTTTAAATCTAAAGCAGGTTGGGAGGCCAAGGCAGGCGTATCACCTGAGGTCAGGAGTTCGAGACCAGCCTGGCCAACATGGCAAAACCCCATCTCTACTAAAAATATAAAAATTAGCCGGCTGTGGTGGCAGGCACCTGTCATCCCAGCTACTCGGGAGGCTGAGGCATGAGAATTGCTTGAACCTGGGAGGCGAAGGTTGCATTGAGCTGAGATCGTGCCATTGCACCCCACCCTGAGGGGTTGAGCGAGACTCTGTCTCAAAACAAAAAGAAAAACAATCTAAAGCAGAGTGCACGTCCACATTCTCTCCAGGTGACCCACGGCATGGCTCCTGCTTCTGACATCAGAAATTTCCTTCTTTCTACGTGAGGCGTTTCCACCACTTTTTAATCAGAAGAAAGACAGAGTAGGGCTTCCTCTTTTGTGTTGTTAGCTGCCATGAGGGCGGGGCTTGTCTATTTCTTCCCTAATACATCCCTGGCACCTAGACCCACGCCTGGCATACCTACACTAGGAGCTCAGTCAGTATTGTTTGAGTGAATCAGATCACCACTGTTCCAGAGTGAGTGGCCACAGTATCGCCAGTGAGTTCGACCCAGTTTTGTTCAACTATTTCAATTTCTTTTTCTTTTTTTTGAGCGAGTCTTGCTCTGTAGCCCAGGCTGGAGCACAATAGCGCAATCTTGGCTGACTGCAACCGCCACCTCCTGGGTTCAGGTGATTCTCCTGCCTCAGCCTCCAAAGTAGCTGGGATTACAGGCACCTGCCACCATGCCCAGCTAATATTTTTGTATTTTTAGTAGAGACAAGTTTCACCACGTTGGTCAGGCTGGTCTCAAACTATTGACCTCAAATGATACACCTGCCTCGGCCTCCCAAAGTGCTGGGATCACAGGCGTGAGCCACCACGTCTGGCCTCAAATATTTCTACTTCAATGAGTCTAGAGAAGCTTGTTATTTAGAGAGAAATATGTGAAGGCTCTAGAAAAAGTGATTCTCCTGCCTCAGCCTCCCGAGTTGAGTAGCTGGGACTACAGCCGCCCGCCACCACACCTGGCCAAGTTTTGTATTTTTAGTAGAGGCGGGGTTTTACCATGTTAATCAGGATGGTCTCGATCTCCTGACCTCAAGTGATCTGCCCTCCTCTGTCTCCCAAAGTGCTGGGATTACAGGCCTTGGCCACCACACTTGGCCGAATTACTCTGCCTCCCAAAGTGCTGGGATTACAGGCCTTGCCACCACACTTGGCCGAATTACTCTGCCTCCCAAAGTGCTGGGATTACAGGCATTGGCCACCACACTTGGCCGAATTACTCTGCCTACCAAAGTGCTGGGATTACAGGCCTTGCCACCACACTTGGCCGAATTACTCTGCCTCCCAAAGTGCTGGGATTACAGGCCTTGCCACCACACTTGGCCGAATTACTCTGCCTCCCAAAGTGCTGGGATTACAGGCCTTGCCACCACACTTGGCCGAATTACTCTGCCTCCCAAAGTGCTGGGATTACAGGCCTTGGCCACCACACTTGGCCGAATTACTCTGCCTCCCAAAGTGCTGAGATTACAGGCGTTGCTGTACAACAGAAGCAAGGTGATTTGTCTGAGACCACACTGCTAATTCGCGAGCAGATACAGATTAAAAGCCAGATTGTTGGACTCTTGTTGGTTCAGTGCTTTTTGTTATGTCATGCTCTCTCTTCCTCTGCACTGAGTAGAAGACTGATTCTGTTTCTTACAGATGCTGAGATGCTGAGATGTTAAAACACCTGAGTTAATGTTGCTGAAATTATTTGCAAAATGTAACCGCAAATACTTAATAAAACTAGCATGCCTTTTCCTCTGCAGCTCCCATCGTACTCACCAAAAAGACAGGCAGTGAGTTTCACCAAAAGGTGTTAGACTGCATTTCTGAGATACTTTGCCTGACATTAGGATTCCTGTTGAGATTTTGTTTGTTTGTTTGACTGGAGTCTCGCTCTGTCTGGAGTGCAGTGGTGCAATCTTGGCTCACTGTAATCTGCCTCCCAGGTTCAAATGATTCTTCTGCCTCCAGCTCCTGAGTAGCTGGGACTACGGGCACCCATCACCACGCCTGGCTAATTTGGGTAGAAATGGGGTCTCACTATGTTGGCCAGGCTGGTCTCAAACTCCTGACCTTGTGATCCGCCCACCTCAGCGTCCCAAAGTGCTGGGATTACAGGCGTGAGCCACTGCGCCTGGCCTCCCTTTGAGGTATTTAAGAGCCCTAATGATGTATTTCCTTTTCATTCTTTAGAATCCTAAATCCATTGGTCAGAATGATTTCAGTTGTGACAGAAACCCAATTCCATGTAGTTCCCCAGAAGAGGGGAATTTATTGGCTCACACGATTGAAATTTCCAGTCCCTGCAGACATGGTCACATCCAGCGATATAACTCAAGCTGGTCCCTTGATGTCTCTGTGGTGCTTTCCTCTGAGTTAGCTTTATTCTCTGATTCAGGTGATGACTCCAGCAGCCCCAAGCTTCATGCTCTTTCCTGCTAGCAGGGTCCCTGGAGACAGAGGTTTTGTTTGTTTTGAGATAGGGTCTTTCTTTGTCACCCAAGCTGGAGTGCAGTGGCATGATCACAGCTCACTGCAGCCTCCACCTCCTGGGTTCAAGCAATCCTCCCACATCAGCCCCCCAAGTAGCTGGGACCATGGGTATACACCACCATGTCCAGCTAATTTTTGCATTTTTTGTAGAGATGGGGTTTTTACCATGTTGCCCAGGCTGGTCAAGCTCCTAGACTCAAGTGATCCACCTGCCTTGGCCTCCCAGAGTGCTGGGATTAGAGGTGTGAGCTACCAAGCCTTATCTGGGAGGGAGTTTCTTTATCCTTTTTGCTTTGGCAAAAGGCATGGGATTGACTCTTATTGCCTGAACTGGATCGTGTGTCTAGACAAAAAACAATCCCTATGAGCAAAGGCGTTGGGTCTGCTGATTGGCTAAATTAGGTCACTTGCTTACTTCCAAAAGTAGGTCGGGGTAGACACAAGGAAAATTAGGGGTTGTTGTCAGAAGGGTGAGTACATGCTAGGAAGGCAAAAACAGTAACTGTCCCCACAGTGTACCACTAGCTTGGACCTAAAAGCCTTATGAGTCCCATTGGTCCCATTGCTTCTTTTATTCCACCTGAAGATGGGGTATATCAGGTTCTTGCTTATCTTAAGCTCCTGGAGACCTGAAGTCAGATCTCTCCTCAGCCTGTTCTCTCAATCACAAAATGCTATTAACTTGTTCCCAGTCATGGATCATGCATGTCCATTCATTAAACAGATATTTATTGAGAACACAGCACGTAGCAGGCACTATCCTAGGTGTTGGGAATAGAACAGTGGACAGAATTGAGAGTGCTTGGCCCCCCAGAAGCTTACATTCCAGTTGGATTGGGGGACACAAAATTAAGATAGAAATACTACATTCAGTGATAATCAGAGGTGGAGAAATGATGCCAGGTTGGCTAAGAGATTACTAGCTGGGGATGAGGGTAGGAACAACTTGTTCTTTGAATTAGTAATCAGGGAGGTTTCTTTGTTGAGGTGCATACCGGAGCTAGCTCAGCCAGAAGTGGGTTGGTGGTGGGAGCCAGGAGGTCATAGTTCTTCAAATGGATTCAAGTGCTTCCTCTGTACCTTGGTGGAAAAGTATTCACAGTTCTCTTGCATTTTTGAAACTTGGAAAGAGAGTAAAGAGGACCCCCTGGGGTGGCTTAGTCATGGTGGAGGTTTGTGAATATGAATGCCTTTTCCCAGCCAGGCGCAGTGGCTCACACCTGTAATCCCAGCACTTTGGGAGGCCGAGATGGGCAGATCATGAGGTCAAGAGATTGAGACCATCCTGGCCAACATGGGGAAACCTGGTCTTTACTAAAAATACAAAAATCAGCTGGGCTTGGTGGTGCATGCCTGTAGTCCCAGCTACTCAGGAGGCTGAGGCAGGAGAATGGCTTGAACCTGGGAGGTGGAGGTTGCAGTGAGCCAAGATTGTGCCATTGTACTCCAGCCTGAGGACTGCGTGAGACTCTGTCTCAAAAAAAAAAAAAAAAAAAAAAAGGAGAAAAAGAAAGAAAAGAATGCCTTTTCCCATGGCAAGTGAGGATGACATCTAGGATATGTGAAGATGGAACACCCCTAAATGTGGGCTTTTCTCTGGTCCACTTGACCTCAGGAAAACTGCCCGGTGCATGGCAGCAGCAGGTGGGGGCCTATCAAATTGTGCTTTGTTTGGGCATCTCCTTCTTCAGATCATTTTTCTGTGCTCTGCTCTTTCCAGATATGTTTTGAGCTGCTTCTTTGTATTAGATTTGATGGGAGGTTGCCATCCTGGGTACATACATCAGACAGGGCCTTTTGCTAGAAGTGACAGGACCTACGTATAACTACGTTAAGAGACAGGCAGAGGGACATAGCACAGATACTCAGTCTGTGTGTATACCCTAAATTGCAAAATGAAAAAATAAAGAGACCAGTAGAAATATATGTAACTCATGTAAAAAACAAAACAAAACAGAAACCACTCAGAGCCAGAGAGAAGCAGGCCTTCTGGAAAGCTGGGTCCAGGGATTCAAATCCTTCCCTTCTAACTCTGTTCTCTCAGGCTGGCAGTCTCTAGAGGCCTGGAATCATGGCCACAGGTGGCCTAGGCTTATGTCTTTATCGTCTCCTGACCAGAGAGGAAAGAGCATGTTCCCACATCAGCAGCACACACACACACACACACACACACACACACACACCCCAGAGAAGAACGCCAATTGGCTGGCATGGGGTCATGTGATTATTATATTATATTATAGTATTATTATAGACTGTTCATGGCACAACATAAAGTTGCAATAGGGTGTTAGTCCTTTCACAAAAGAAAGAGGATCTATTCTGGGAAGACAAATAATAAATGTCTCCTATGGTGAAGCAATGATACTTTTTTCCTGCTTTCGAGCAACTTATTATCTTCTTTGTATATGTGTGTATTTTGTGGGCAATGTCAATCAAGTCCAAGTGCATAATTAACATGGTACAAATGTAAAAGATAGATGTGCCTCAATAGATGGGCCATCTCTCATTGGGGTATTACAATAGCTTCCTAATTGATTTTTATCTTCAGGGCCTCCTCCCCACTTCCAAGTCCATCCGCCATTGCCATCAGGATAAAGCCCGGCTAACGTGTGCTTATACTCCAGCTAATGACTTATTTTCCCTCCCTCCCTCCCTCCCTCCCTCCCTCCCTCCCTCCCTCCCTCCCTCCCTCCCTTCCTTCTCTTTCTTTCTAGACAAAATTTTGCTCTTGTCACTCAGGCTGAAGTGCAGTGGCACAATCTTGGCTCACTACAACCTCTGCCTCCTGGCTTTAAGCAATTCTCCTGCCTCAGCCTCCCGAGTAGCTGGGATTACAGGCATTGCCACCATGCCCAGCAAATTTTTGTGTTTTTAGTAGAGATGGGCTTTCACCATGTTAGCCAGGCTGGTCTTGAACTCCTGACCTCAAACTCCTGACCAGCCTGGCCAACATGGTGAAACCCCATCTCTACTAAAAATACAAAAATTAGCCAGACATGGTGGCACGCATCTGTAGTCCCAGCTACTTGGAAGGCTGAGGCACGAGAATGCTTGAACTTGGGAAGCGGAAGTTTCAGTGAGCTGAGACCATGCCACTGTACTCCAGCCTGGGCGATAGAGCGAGACTCAGTCTCAAAAAAACAAACAACAAAAAAAAATTAAGAGGGTAGCTCTCATGTTAAGTGTTTTTTCTTTGCTTGTTTGTTCTTGAGACAGAGTCTCTCTCTGTGCCCAGGCTGGAGTGCAGTGACATGATCTTGGCTCACCGCAGCCTCCACCTCCTGGGCTCAAGTGATTGTCCCGCCTCAGCCTCCCAAGTAGCTGGGACTACAGGTGCCCACCACTACATCTGGCTAATTTTTGTATTTTTAATAGAGATGAGGTTTCACTATGTTAGCCAGGCTTGTCTCTAACTCCTGACCTCAGGTGATCCACCTGCTTCGGCTTCCCAAAGTGGTAGGATTATAGGAATGAGCCACTGTACCTGGTCAAAACTACCAGGTACAGTGGTTTTTTTAACCACCAAAACCAAGCCAAACCAAAACACCAAAAACAAAAACAAAGGGACACAGGGAAACTTTGGGAGGTGGTGGATATGTCTATTAACTTGATTTTGATGATGGTATCATGGGTGTTTGCATATGTCTCAGTCATCAAGTTTTACACATTAAATATGTACAGTTCTTTATATATCATTTATACTTCAATAAAGCTGTTTTTTTTTGTGGGGGAGGAAGGGAGGGAAGAAGGACAGTAGGGAGGAAGGAAGGGATGAAGGAAGGAAGGAAGGGAGGAAGCGGGGAGGGAGGGAGGGAGGGAGAGAAGGGAAGGAAGGAAATCCAGCAATGAGAGAGACATTGCCGACCTGGATCTAGAGGTTTACAAGTTGATTTCTTTTTTTTTTTGAGAGAAGGAAAGAAAAAAAAATAAGTAAAGGAGAGGAAGAAAGAGGAAGAGAAAGAGGGAGAGTAAATGGAAATATTGCTAATAAAGCTGTTTTAAACAGATCAGCTAAAGCCACAAAAAGAATCTAATTTGAATGCCCCCTCTCCAAGTCATCTGATTTTCCTACACACCTAGTAGCATGTATCTATTCCTGCACTTCCCATGTTGCATTGCAACAATCTTTTTACACACCTTGTTCCCTGTTCCTCAAGGACAGGGCCTGTTTCTAAGTCATCTTTGTCCCTCTGGGTACATGGTAGGTACAGTATTCAATGAATCCTTTTGATTGGATGTCACTGAATGAAGAGTAGACAAACAACTTTTCTTGGGACTCAGAGTGGGCAGATGAGAGTTGTTTGGGAAAGTTATAGGAGGTCTATTGAAAATGAGTTTGGTTCACCCAGTCCATCCCCCATTGTCTGTAGCAGAAAATGCCACTGCCAGGAGTGGGCAGATAACTCCAGCCAAGGTAATCGTAATATATCACTTGAGCTTTCCCATAGATGTCTGAAAACTTCAGAAGGAGGCAAAAGGCCCTCTGTAGTTCTCATCAAGTGGTGAGGATTATGGGGAAACAGGGGCTGCTCTAAGCCATGTAGGGAGAGACTATGAAAATGAGAAATTCACAGAAAGAGGCTCGAAGATGCTTGGTGACTGGATCATGTCATCCCTGAGGTCCCTGCCCCTGCCCCTTCTGTGTTATGTCACGTGAGCCAAGAATCTCCCCCTTCTCCTCTTTGTGTAAGCTGGCTGGTTTTCTCCTCTGTCATTTAGAACCAAGAGGACCTCCCAGTTCATATGGTGATATGGTTTGGATGTCATGTCCCCTCCAAATCTCATGTTGAAATGTGACCCCCAAATTTGGAGGTGGGCCTAGTGGGAGGTGTTTTGACCTGCCTATATATCATATTTGAAGTGAAGGGAGATGTTTGGGTCATGGGGGCAGATCCCTCATGAATGGCTTGGTGCTGTGCTCGTGTAATGAGTGAGTTCTCACTCTAAATATACA